GAAATGAGCGTGCTGAAAAACAGATATTAAAAACGGTTCCAACATTATTGACAAATTCGACTCTGTGGGATGTGACAAATGCTGCATATTTGGCTATAACCAGTGAGTTGGAGAATCATGTTATGCAAGATTCGAAACATAATGATAAACGCCGCTATGCCGTGTTCACCGGTGTCCAAACACACGGTCCAACCGGTCATCATTTCGTATGGGTTGGAAATTCAAGCTTAATCCTCAATGGTGTTTGAAAAAACACTTTCCTGTTTCATGAGACATATAAATACTCACAAATCATTAACAGTAACCTACGACCCCATATAGTTATAGCGATTTTATTAGAAAAGTAGTAACTATGTTTATTAGCTTCTAGTCTCAATCCATCAGGTAATACACTAAGTACGTTGATTCTGTTTCTTCAAAAAATTCACATAACTAGCTTACATAAGTCTCACTTTTCATGAAAAATAATTTGTGCTAATTTTTAGTTCTGCACACTTCACTGTTTCTCAAACTTGTAAGAGCTCAAACATGGTGGATAGATCAGTGTAATTCCGCTAGAAAGCAACTTAAAGCAGGATCGTGAGAACCCACTAAAATCGTAATAACGGAAGAGCTGAATAATGAGGGCTATGCTGACTTATTCGTCGTCAAAATAGTATTTATCGGCACATGTGTGTGTTAAGCAAGGCGACTTCTATTATGGTTTCGCACACCACACTTTTTTAGGTGGAAAACTGGATGGTTCTTATGGAAATATACCAGACTTTACAGCAGCTTTCTGCCAATCGTATGGCACTTTCAGAACTAGCAGAACTGATCACGGTGATCACAAAAATCATCTTAAAAGCTTTTCAAAATGACCGCATGTACTCTCTGGGGCGAGGCACGACCCCGAAAACATTTCCAGCAAATTATTTTTGGCATTACTTTGCCATTTCAAAAGATGAAAAGTTCAGACTGATTTTATAAATACTACTAACCAATATGAACATCTTTTGAAGCAAAAAGATTTTTCTTCTAGCTTTTTAAGGAAAATTGTACAAAAACACGATTTTTGGTGTTTTTCCTGTTCAGATACCTCTATGAAGACGAAATGAAAACTTAAGATCAATGTATGACTTAGAATTCCCCATCTCTTATCTGTCTAATAGTGAAAACCACTGGACCCCAGCTGCTTCTACACTAAATAGCAGAGAAACACTGACTACTGGTTTTTAGTTTTCACCAACTCCGCTGGCCCATTGCAAATTCTACAGACTGTCCCCCTATACCCAATGTTGATGTATATAGTGAGGACGAATCAATGTCCTACTTTAAAATCCTGAAACATTTGTCTTTGGCTGATGCTTTATCTCTGAGCAAACTGATCGCAAAGGTCAGATTTTTGAAAAACGGGTTTTCTAGAAATAAATGCAAGACTTTTAGGACACTGATCCAGGATTATTCACAATCGTTCACAAAGCAAAAGAGTCGATTATTTTTTTACGGACGCATGCTGATACACATAGTTGTTGTTATCAAAATGGCATTTTACAATGGTACAAACACACCTCGGAATCTGATGAAGTGGAATTATACCGGAATTTTCTCCACTTATAAGGCATATCTTTCCACTCATCCGATTTTAAACTGAATGTGTTACTCTAAGAACGTCATTCAGTAAAGAGGGCGCACCACCATCATTTTAACAATTAAACAAAGTTTTTGCTCAACGGATAGATTCATTTATGCATGATCTTTATGTTCTTGGTAAAAACGGATTCATAAATGTTCACCGATTTGGACATGGTATATCTGATTGTTGTACGAGTCTTCTGAGACACTTGTGCAGTTGTTATCTATGTATCAAACCATACCATAAATTGGCCGAGATGAAGTGCCTCTGATAGAAATTTTAACCCGATGGAACATTGTTCCTCACATTTTTGAACAAGATCAAAAGGAGAGGCAATACTCTTAAGTCTCTCTCTCCTGTCAGAGCAGTCCTTTTTTTTCAAAAGATGACTTTTTAGTTTTTCGTCTCATATTGTAGCCCTGACTGTTGCCTTTCAGAATATGTATGGTATTTCAGAAAAAAGTTAGTCCTAATGGGTTTTTCAAGAGTTTTTCTGAAATTTCGGGCGAAAGAAATGACAGTTTTTACTCTTTTTTACCACTGACAGTTATTGACTAGAAACAAGATTTTATAATCAGAAAAGTAGATTCTAGTAATTGAATGATAATATTGCATAACCATAAAGTCGAAAGCAATTGCTATCGATGCTGACACGAAAACATTGTTTTGCGTTGTTCTCGAGATGACTTTTTGGAGTTTTACATGTTGATGCGACAAAGATTTCTGTATCATACCATTAAAAAGACTAGAAAGCTCGGGGAGGTTTTAAAATCAGACGCAGACCTAGTGTTACAACTTAACGGCGTAGGGTTATTGATCTTCAGCTTAATTTTTGAGAAAAATAAAGTTTTCCGAAAGAGTAGCCGTAACTTTTTCCAACTTTTTTGATAAAACCTTTAAAGACAAATTAACAAAAAATTCAAAACTTCAGTCCTGTTACGTTGTGGCAGCAAGTCTTGGCTACATTCATTCTTACACTACCCCGAAGTCTATATCATTAAAGCTGCAGGCGAAATTTTTGCCGCACAGACACCTATTGTATTTCGGTAATTATTTTCAGAAATTAATGTCGATGTTGTGGGTATGTAATGCAAGATGTTGTAATGTTTCTTGTAATCAGTCATGTCAGTTTAGATCATGTCCCATGCCCTGATTTTTAATATTATCAAGTTCGAATGTTCTGGAGCAGGAATAGGTTTCTGACAGGGGAGCTTAACTACAATGACTATAAGTCATAAATCTTAACTTCTTATGGCTTAAATTGTTAATGAATATATTTTGTGACTTTACATGACAACGTGTCGAAAGCATAATAGTTCATCATTCTCAAAAAGTCCATAAATGTTAGGCGGTCGATGCAGAACGCTACTATAGTTTCGGTTTCTTTCTTTCATGATAAGCGAGCTTTTCATCTACACTGTTAGCACAGTGAAACTTCCGCTAGTTTCTATTTAAAAAAAACACATCATCTTTCGTTTTCAACAATATCAAAACTGTTCATTCATTTCGAGTTATTCCCTAACAATAGTATTCAGGCAGTTGTAGACACAACCTAGGTACGCACCGATATCGATATTCATACCGAAAATACCGACCTTTTCGCGGATTTTTGGGATTTTTCCATCTGTAATGAGATAGTTTAGCTTCATGGACAGCTAGAGCACAAAACACACTCAGCTGGGTATTCTGAGCATGTGTAGACAGAAAATAAAGGAAAACTTTGGCTTTAGAAAGCAAATAAAGCTCTTGTTTTGTATCCCTAATTCTTTCTGGATGTCCAAGACGCTAAACTGCCTTATTTCAGATGGAAAAATCAAAAAAATCAAAATCAAAAAAAGTCGGTGTTTTTGATAGTCGGTATACCGATACCGGTGCATCCCTAACCCGACCACAACATTTTCGAAGACAGTAAAGACCACGCTAACTGTATTTGAAGCAGTTGTATTAAATAATCGCTGTGGGAAGTCCCGGTTCCGGTCAAGCGACAGGGACTCGCAGATGAATGTTACCTGCAAGACTACTCATGACAGTCTGTGCCTTCTAATTAAAGATAAGTAGGTTTATTTCATCAAAAGAGTAAATTTATTGGAAAAAAAAGAACCATGTGTCAAAGTTTAATGTAAAAATACTTATATAAGCTATTTACCGATATTTTTAAAATGTAACACAGCTGCATCTGGAAATGATAAGAAAGCATCTGCGACGTCTTCAAACGAGACGCAGAATGGGATATTCGTAAAGGACGCACGGTGGAAATGACGTTTTTTCCTTTCTATATTTTAAAAGCTTATTCAAACTATATGTAAAAATATGTGTTCTACTTAATTCATTACTCCCGCTTGGGTCATGTTTGGCCCATTCGTAGAAATGATGTAGCGGAGTAACAAAGCGTCGGCTCAAGAAGCTTTATGAACGTTGAGTACAGAATTCAATAAACTATAGATTCGTAAAATTCGCAAGATCCGTCTTTTTTTTCATTACGTCTTGGCTAAAATATCGGAGTCTGGAAACGGTGAATTTTCAAAAAACTGAAAAAATCTGATTTTTTTTAAAGATTTTTTTCCACTTCCACGGAGTGATTATTTTTGTATTCTGGCGGTTGATATATACTGCTATGTCAGTCATCTATTTGCAGGAAAGCGTTTAAAGATTTCTTGATTAGAGATGAATTGTCCTGAAATTTGTCCTGAAGCATTCTTCAGGACAAAATGAGTCATCTGTGACCCATTGGGGATGGGTGACATGAAAGATATTTTTTTCTGCAGCTGGTTTGTTTATTGATATAAGCTACATTATCGCCCTTTACGTTAGACTTAGGCTTTAGAACACGAGCAGTGTATATTAGAAGAGGTCCCAACAGTGTCAAAAAGATATTTTTTCATTCATTTGCGAAATTTATAGACCGTAGACGTGCAACATTTTCAGTTTTTAACTGAAGAACTGTAACTGTAATGTTTATGAATTTTTTAGCAGCATCAAAAGTATAATCTCTACATAGGATCATTTGTCAAATTCTAAGGCTATCCAGAATTCTGAATATAAATGTAAGTTATCTTAGACCCTTCCGCAAAATACAATTTTCGATATTTTCGATAGTAAAGACCTCGGGTGTTTGTAATAAAATCAAGCCTATCATAAATCATTTTTCTACATTTTCCAAAACAATTCATGATACGAAGAACTTTCCAGCATTATACAGACCAAGTGAACACACAACTGCAAAAAGCCGCAGTAAAAACCAAATAAGCAAAACATTAAATTTTCATGTCACTCAACCCGAATGGGTCGTAAATGATTCTGCTCCTCCGCAGTGAAAGAACATCGTTCAAATTTAACCATACCATCGTCTTATTGAGCACTCACACAAGTTGTTCCTGTAGTCAGCTCAATACCAGATATGCTGAATTAGCACCAGGGAGTAAAGTGTTAAAACTAGAGAAAATATGGTTTTTATCGTATATCCTTTATAAATAGGAAAAAGCTGTAAACTACAATCTGCATTTAGTAAGCGAGAAAAGGGTGGTATACGATGTTGAGCAAGTATCTGCACGATTTCAAAACCAGATTGTACACCAGAATATTCAATTGTGACACGAGTAATCGATGCGCACACTTTATAACAGTTTAAAAGATAAAGATCTTTAGGATTGGCATATCGGGAATAGAGATAGTAAGCAGCAGCTGCTGTACCCCATATATGAGCCATTCTGTGTATATAAGAAAGTTCTTTGGATACTTCAGTATGCTGATTAAAGTTTGCAATATCTTCTAAACAATTCCAAATATTTTTGTATTGATTATAACCTAAGACACGATGCGCTAATTCTTGGATAGCATTCTCTTCAAACATAGCTAGATTTAGACCAAAATACACACTAGAAGCATGAGGTAATGTTCCTATAGGATGAATAAGTGCATGGTCAAACATAAAGCGACTACATTCTGATGCCGATTCTAAATTATCCATAACGAATAAAACAACATCACGCCATAGTTTACGCATACCAAATGCATCCGAAATCTTTTGACATTCTATAGTAATATTAACCTTTTTTGTTTGTTTCTTCTGACCAAGGTCTTCTTCTTCGTGCTCATTCAGTTGATTATTATATTTAGCTAAGTACATTATTCGAAATCTAGTTTTCATATAAACTTCTTTCATTTGGGCGTGTTTGATAAGTCTGTCATTATTACTAGTATATGACAATGATAATTGTTTAGCCTGATATAATTCATCCTGAGTTTTCTCGATAATACCACACACTTGATAAAGATTTGCGCATACCATATGAACATTGAATCGACAATATTTACTTATATCCTTTTGCATTCGTAAATCGGCCAATGCTTTAGAAATATCACGTGGAGGAAATCGATTAATTCGACGAAATGCCCAGTCCTCTAATAGTGTATAGTTTGGTAATGATTCATCTGATGGATAATCGCTAATATACGAATGGACGTTCAAGGGTAAAGTATAAGCTCTGAAATATGATGGTATGCTTACTACAACATGCGCATGAATCGTGATTAAAAAGTAAACTCACCTTCTACGATGATGACTATTATGGAATATGGATTGTGGAAGTAAGCTAGGTTCTGTTACACTTCGATTGCGCACTGCTGCATCATGTATGTAAATAAATAAATGACGAATATAATGGAAGATACTAGTTTATGAGATAGACATTGATAATACTGTTGTGGAGGGTGGTACGACTATCTCGAAACTTATGAAACTAGTGGTTAGTACTAAGGAATGATAGAAACAAGTCCGTCAGACCTAGAGATTTTAATCTTGATTGTTTAACCTAGAAAAAAGATTCTCCCGTATAGTATCTCACCATGAAATATACCGTAAGAATGCATTAGAATGAGTTTTATATACTTTATTGAGAAACTGCTAATTAAAAATAATTGAAATGGTATCCATTAGTAACTATCCTGTGAAGTGTATTGTTATAATCTGTACTACCAATACATTCTGTTCTTCTGTCATGGTAAAACATCCTCAAAATTACTTTAAAACAGTACGGCTTTAAAAGCAAGTTACGTTTGTCATGCTGACTCACTAGTCTCTTGACTGCCAATTTTTTAGGACAATATGCGATCAAATCAATTTTTGTGTTTTGGCTTTTCTTCTACGCTAATGAGTCAGAAAGAAAAACTTCGTTTAATTCTTGACAGTTGTATTCTAAACTTTGTAATACCAGATGTGGAAAAAATAAGAAAAAGAAAAATTTTACGATACTTTATGGAACTTAGTGGTATCTAATTTGAATCTTATTAATATTTTAAAGAAATAAATTGAAATTAATGCGAATTATAGTGAGTGATCAGCTAAATGTGTCGTTAAAACGGCAGTAACATTACCACCTCTTCTCTTATATGGCTCATCGATTGAAGAACATGAAGAAGTTAAGTATTTAGGCTTAACAATTGCATTCGATCTCGCTTGGAACTCTCATGTAAATAAAGTT